TCTGCCTTCAGCTCGGGTCATGATCCCAGGGTCCTGGGATCGAGCCCCATGTTGGGCTCCCTGCTCAGTGAAGAGTGTGCTTCTCCCTCTCCCCTTGCGCCTCCCCCCTGCTCATGCTTTCTCTTTCTGTCAAATAAATAAATAAATAAATAAATAAATAAATAAATAAAATCTTTAAAAAAGTTCTTTTAGTCTGAAAGTTGAAAGTTCCATAATTTATCAACCCCCCCAAAAAAACCCACTACCAAGTTAATTAAAATGCTAAAGTCACGTGCTAACCACCAGTTTCTAAGTCCCATTCACACAGATAATTGTTAATTACTTGGAGTTAATCTTTCCAGACCTTTCTTTCATGTATACATGTTTAATTATCTGCCTCAAATGCTCATGGAGGGAGGAAAGGCAGATACCAAGGCACAAACGCAATAAGACCAGAAAAATGGAAGATACCCACACCAACTTTTAATTTTCCTAAATCAAATTTGCTTCTGAGGGGAGTACAAATACATAAACAGGAGGTGTATCCATACTCTGGTGAAAATAAGCACTTTTCTCCTCAGGGCTCTTGAGACTCTGTTTGCTTAAACATCAAAGTCCATCAAACTTTTCTCTAGATATAAACAAAAAATCAGCTTTAAAAAATCTTAACCTCAGCTAAATGAGTTACTTATTTAACTGGAGGCAGGACCACTCCTTACCCTCAGACTTAGACAAACAAATCTCTGTGACACGTGCCCTGTTAGGGGCTATAGTTCAAAATATTTCTTTTCCCTCATAACAGCTTCCCACTCATCTTACAAAGAATTTGCACTACCTTTGATATAGAATAGACCGAATTATTTATTTTGTAACATATCCCAAGTTGAAATCTATAAAATTTCAGACAGATATAATAAATTAGTGAACCTGAATTATAATTGATTATCTATTTCATTCCCTAATTTCTGATTATTTTTTAAAGATTTTTTTTATTTATTTGACGGGGGCAGGGAGTGCACACAAGCAGGGGGAGGGGCAAAAGAGAGAGGGAAAAGTAGCCTCCCCGCTGCAGAGGGAGCCCAACTCGGGGCTCGGCTGGATTCCAGGACACAGGGCTCCATCCCAGGACTCTGGGATCATGACCTCAGCTGAAGGCAGATGCTTAACTAACTGAGCCACCTAGGCACCCCCTGATTATTTTTGATTTGGTGACTTTTATCTTTGTCTTAGAAGTGAAAGGGATAGGAATTAAAGCTACCAATTACTCCTAACTTTTCACTCTTCATACTACTTATTTAGAAAAAAATATATAAGCCTGGATAATTTTAATAGTTCAGTACTAATGAACACAGATTTAAGCTGAGGGGGATAAAAACAACTAGTTTGCTATTTTTACATGAACAAAATAAAACATATTGGAATTTATACACACTTGCATCTTTAGAAAGAAAGCATATTTTCTTCAGGACTTTTCTAAAGAAAAAAAGGCTTATTTTGAGAAAAATCCATGTTTACTTTGAGAAAAATCTGTGCTGTGGCTGCCAACTTCAAAGAATGAACAGATATTCTGGTGGTGTTTCATTGGAGACCAGATTTGAATTTAGGCTTGTCTCCATTTTCCTATATTACAGTGAATTTCATTATTATATGTACTAAATGAAAAGTTATTTTCATTCTCTGAAACATTTGTATCTAGTGCTTACCTCAGACTGATAAGTTTGCACTGATTTCTGTATTATGGTGTAATTTATTCAGCTGACACACACCTAGATTCAAAGAAAACTCGATTCAAAAATCAAAGACCTTACTAATAGAAGAAAACGTAGGCTGATATCTTTGTAGAAAATGTCAGATAATAGCTCTTTGGTCTGAGAGTAATACTGCTTAAACAAGATCAAAGAGCTCAAAAACCAATGGATTTTATTATATTTTAAGTTAAAGATTTCCAGTCAACAAAAGGCAAGATGGACAAAGTCAGAAGATAAATGACATATTGGGAGAAAAGATTTGCAACATCTAAAACTGGGGATTTATACCCTGAAATGTCAGACACTCCTGCAAATCCACAAGATAAAGACAAAAATGTCTTTGTCTTTTGCCCAACTGAAAAATGGGCAAAGGACATAAGCAGGAAGCCACTGAATGGGAAATCCCAAATGTCTAATGAGTATATATGAGGAGATGCTCAAATTCATCAGTAAGGAGGGCAATGAAAATTAAAACAATGAGAACTCACTCCTCACTTACTAGATTGGGAAATATTAGAAGGATGATGTTAACCTTAAAAAAATAAAAGTACCAACTACTTAATCAGCAAAAATGGGTTTATTTGGGAATAGCAGAGACCTGTAATCAGGTACAACCATGCTACCACAAAACCGTAAGCAAGTTTGCAAAACACAGGGCAGGACCACCTCTTTTATAGAGGAAATGGGGGAGTGGGGGCCCATGTTATAAACAAAAGGTCCATTGGAGGAAACTGGGAGTTTGAAGTATGGTGGCTTTTGATTGGCTGAGTTGTGACTGTCTCTCATTGGCTGGGCTCTTGATGGGGGGGTGGGGATGAAGAGGCCTTCCTTCGTCCTGCTGGGATAGTAAAGTAGCTAAAGTAGTAGCCAAGGGTAGGGTCCTTGTCTTCCTAGTGGCCGCAATTGACAAGTGGTGGGGTGTGAGAGCTCCCCCTGCTGGCCTCTGCTCCGTATTCGAAATGAAGTTTCCTTTTACCAATTTTCACAGTGAAATGCCGAGGACTTTATGAAAGATGTGGGGATAGAGATGCCTTTGTACATTCTAGCTGAGAGTGTACACTGGCATAGCTAACATTAGGAGTAATCCGGCACTCCAATCAAACTAGTTATGCACACCTAGTATAAATCCTACTCTTGGATATATAACCCTGAAAAATTCCCTCACACGGGTCCATAAGGGACACGGACGGGGACGTTCTGTGCAGTGTTGTTTGCATTAATGGGGAGCTGGAGTCCACCCAGGTGTCACTCATGGGGAGCCTGGACAGTAAAATATGGGGTTGGCCTACTACTGAGTACGATGAAGCAGCTAGAAGCAAACAACTAAATCAGGGGTTCCCAAATGTTCTCACATCACAGCATCCTTAGAATCTCAACAATTTTCCTTGGAACTCCTAGTCCAAAAGCAATGGCTAAGAATTCTGTGTATTAAGTAGTTAGGTCCAAACAGCTGAATACACATTTATGTTCTAACAACTTGGTGGTATCTGAGGAAAACAATGCACATAATTTGGAGGAGAAAATAGTATTTCATTTCATTCTTAAATAACCAGAAGAACTTACTAAGAGGATGTGTGTGCCTGTTGGGCACTGCCCAACTTCTCAAATGTTGGCATCGGATTGGACACTACTGTCCTTACTCTCCGTTTCACCCTGATTTCCCTGTAGTACCTGCTTCTCACCACAACTGCTGAAGGCACAGCCCTGCAAAGATATATGACATTATATCATAGAAAGGAACATAGCACAATCTAATGTTGCAGCTGTGGACTACCTCAAATTAGCAGTTCACATGGCACCGTTTGGGAACCACAGAATTAGGTATACCTATAGCAGTATGAAGAAACCATAAAAACAGTGCCAAATTTAAAAAAAAAAAGTACCAGAAAACTAAGGCCTAAGGGGCTCCACTGAGTCTATTCTTGCTGAGGTTTCAATGACCTTACCGCTAAACCAGGGAACAGGCTCCCATACAGCATTTGGCCCTGTTGAGCCCCTCCGCTTCCAGAAATGTTTTTCCATTGGCTTCCACCAATCCCCCCTCTTATGATCTCTTCCTCGTCTTTTTTTTTTTTTAAGATTTTATTTATTTATTTGACAGAGAGAGACACAGCGAGAGAGGGAACACAAGCAGGGGGAGTGGGAGAGGGAGAAGCAGTCTTCCCGCGGAGCAGGGAGCCCCCGATGTGGGGCTCGATCCCAGGACCCTGGGATCATGACCTGAGCCGAAGGCAGACGATTAACGACTGAGCCACTCAGGCACCCCTCTTCCTTGTCTTTGACTTGTCCTTCGCAGTTCCCTTTGGTGGTCTCCATCTGTCCCACTCTGAGCCCTTTCTGCACAAGCTAGCCCACTCCTATTGGGACCTAATAACTCACAACTCATTGTCTTTGGCCCAGAGCTCTTCCCTGAGCTGGGGGCCACATATCCAACTGCCTGTTCAGTGTCTCCACTCAGACATCCACAGGCACCTGAGACCTACCACGTCCTGACTAATCTCCCCATCTTCCCCACTCCCCCACCTGTTTCTCCCATGTTTCCTAACTCAGAGAATGGAACCCCTCTCCACCTTGTCGTGGCCTGTGGCAGATTGCATCAGTGGCCCCAGTTCTTCACCTTCCCTGCATCCACACCCTTGCCCAGGCCTCATCCCCACCACTTGGCTTCGGGTGGCCCACGAGACTTTGGCTGGTGGCACAGAGGAGGAAGTATAACAGGACGGTTCTGAACCTAGGCCTTCAGAGGCCTCACTCACGTGTTTGCCCTTGCCCTCTTCTGCTCCCCAGCTTCCATGAGAAGAGCATGGCTGGGGTACTCCGCTGGTCCCAGGAAGAGAAGGATGAGAGACATGTGGAGCAGAGCCACTCCACCGGAGCCTAGCCTAGATCAGCTGACACCTCTGCCCCGCCCCCTGCTGAGCTGCCAACAAGTGAGGAACACTACAAGATTATTGTTCTAAGGCACCAAGTTTGAGGGTGCTTTGTTACGCAGTTAACCAACCAGGTCGCCTAAACTAGAAACCAGACATTGCCTTTGACTCCTCCCCCTCTCAGTCCACGTGGTTCCCAGAGTTTCCCGAATATCTCGCGACTCCATTCACTGTCTCCATCCTTGGCACCTCTGCCTTACCTCAGGGCCTCCTGCAGCCCCATTTTAACACATTTCTCCTTTCTGTCTTTTGCCCCTATTCTCCACACAGCAACTTCCTATTATTCAAATCTGATCACGTGACTTCTTTTCTGGGGGTTGGCTATGCCCTCAGGCTGGGGTACCAGGGCCCCGGATGAGGGAAGGACGCTCGCTGGGGACCGTGGGTATCATGGTCACTGCAAAGAGACACCTCCGGGGCAGTTTCTGCTTTGTTCCCAAGTCAGTGCAGGGGCTCTTTGGTTCTGCGCAGGGAGCCAGGTTCAAGCTTGGAGCAAAATAAGCAAAAGACTGGCCTCACTCAGGCCATGGCAGCGCTTCCTCAGGGTCCCCCGGAACCACCTTTACTGCTGGGTGTGCTTTTTGAGGGCATCAACAGAGAGGACAACCTGAGAGTCATCGACAACTTGGAATTACACTTTCTGTCTTCATTCGTTGCTAATGGGTTAAGTCGTGGGTGGGCAGCTTCCCTATGTAGGCAAACGGGCTCTCAGACCTCCAAAAGAAAGGGTGAATCACCAGAATGGGGTAGGTGCCACAGCCCACAGAGAAAGGCACCCCTGAAACAAAATAGGGCCTCCCTGTGGGATAACTTGAGAAAGAGCCAGCAGCCTTGGCCTTCAGAGACATTTGTGTTTTGCCACAGGCCTTCTCATAAGACTACCCAGAAAATTGTCTCCTTTAGTGGTTAAACATGCAGATTCTGGAGGCAAATTTACTGGCGTGTGGGCCCAGTTCTGTCACTGATCTAGGGACCTCGGGATGAGAGGAGCATCTGGGCTCCAAGCAGCTCAAGTTCAGCAAGAGAGACAGCCAGGTAATCAGACCACTGCAAAAGTATGAGAGGGGCTCCCATGGGCTGGGAAGGCCCTGGGAGGAGGATCTCCCCTGTGAGAGCTTCTGGAAAGAAGTCAGTCCTAGGGACAAGGATGACATAGCCAGCGGGAATGTGAGGAAGAGAAGGTGTCCTCCCTTCCAGGAGGAGAGGGAGTAGATCTGATTTTGTTTCTCATGGCCCCTTCGCCATGTCTGGCACACATTAGACTACCAATACCAGCTGATCCCAGGAATGAATGAGACTCTCTGTCCAGAACACCGGGAGCTCTGATTTTAAATACAGAGGTGGGATGTGGCACATGTCAGAGCTGGGTAACCATTCAGATTTGCTGGGACCTGACAGGGCCTGTTGGAGCCCAGTGCCTGCAGCCCCAGGGTACATTTGTCTGTGACCTCTGTGTCACCAGCATGAGTGAACAGCTGTCTTAGTACCCGAGAGACAGCCATGGAAGTCTCCAGGCTTAGGGCCACCAGAGAGACAGGTTAAAGGTGGAACCTCTGGCCCAGATGTCCTCCGCGGGTAGCCAGGCCGCGTTAGGGCAAGACCTGTGCAGGGAGCACATGTGGATGGATTGGAGGGCAGGGGAGGGGTGGGGAGAGAGAGCTGCGCAGGGGGTACCTGTCCTGTTGCACAGGTGCGAAGCGCGAGGGCCTGGCCGGACGCGTGTCCCCGCCCCGTCGCCCGGCAGGCGGCGCCAGAGCGCAAGCCCGCGGGTGACACGGGTCCCGGAGTCCGGCCGGGCGGGGCGAGGGGCGGGCCCGGCGTCTCTGGGCGCTGGGGCGCGGCGACACTGCCGGCGCGGGAAGGACGGACAGACGCGCCGCCGGACCCTCCGCGGCCATGGCCGAGCGCGCCGCTCGCCCCTGCTGCCTGGGCTGGGACTTCAGCACGCAGCAGGTACAGTCGCGGGCCCCGGGTCCGGGCGGGGCGGGCCACCTCCTCCGCGACGCCGGGCGGGCTGGTGGGACCCGGGCGCGGGGAACCCTGGGCCGAGCCGCGCGCGGGCGCGCCTCCCTCCCGGGCTTCCTGGGGGTGGGGTGGGGGACGCCGGCGACCCCGCCAGATTCGGCCGCGACCCGGCCTGGACTCGGGCCCTCCCGGAAACGGTGGGCGCCCCCGCCCCCAGCCCCGGCGGATCCCGCGGGCACGTAGCGGGAAGTGCCTCGAGCGGCCGGGGTCCCCAAGCGTTCGCCCGTCGTGGGCGCTGAGTGACAGGGACCCGAAGGAGCTCGGTCGCAAGACTCGGGAACAGACAAGACAGACGGGTAGACATGCACACAGGCATAACCAGTGACCTGGAACCAGATCACTGCTTGGAACTTTTTTTACGTGGAATGGGCACGATATACGCATGAACTTTGTTCCACCCCTGGTTGGCACCAGCATGCCCGGGTCAACGTACCCGGCACTGCTGGCCCCAGGACGGGCCGTGCTGCTCCCGGAGCTCTGCAGACAGGCGAGCAGAGTCAAAATGCCTTCAACCTGGGTGTGGGGTACCAAGGGCCTCCCTTTCTTTAACTTGGGAAATCAGCACAGGTGCAGTCAAATCCCTGGGTCTCCGCGACGGGTCAGGGAGGCAGGCTTAGACCAATCCCTGATCAGAAAGTCCTGTGGGACTCTGCAGTCAGGTTCCTTGCTGGGTCTCAGTGCCCATCTGCCCGAGAGGAGCTGTGAGGAGCTGTACCCCTGAGTTTGGAGGTTTGCTCCCTTCCGGACCTGTATGTCTCTGGACCATGATCACAGCCTATGGGAACAGCCCAGGGACCTTGTCCGGTCTCTCAGGTCCCTGCACACGGGGTCCTGAGAGGCATCTCCAAATGCTGCTTCTCATTCCTTCCCCTGGAGGACTTAACGCAGGCCTCTCTGCCAGGTTCTGGAATCAGCTCTTCTATGAACATCTGGTTCTATGAACATCTGGTTCTCGGCTTTGGTTGTTTAGAGGGACCAAAGATTCCTTGAGCAGTGTAGGTGTTTCGACTTTGCCTCAGCCTCTTCATTTTACCTACTCTTTGGGTATGTTCCCAGAGGAGGCCTCCTTTGCCGTGGTTACAGTGATGTACCCCAAGCTTCTGGGAGGTCTCCAGGCTGAGCCACCCACTAGGGTGCTGGGCTTCACCTGGTGATGTTCCTACCCCTGGGCCAGTGTAGAAGCTGAGGAAATTTCTATACACCATTTTTTAAAATGCCTTCCAGGTGAAAGTTGTTGCTGTTGATGCAGAGCTGAATGTGTTCTATGAGGACAGTGTGAATTTTGACAGAGACCTTCCAGAATTTGGGTATGTACCTAGTGTATGTGTGTGTGGGAGGGGTTGGTTTTGGGGTCCTCCCTCAGCCTTTTACATTTATAAACCACACTATTCCGGTGTTACATTGTGATTTACAAGAAATACATATTTGGTCATTCAGATGGCCAAAATATATTTCTCACATGCATTTGGTCTTCATCCACAGTTCCAGGCTCACAGCTCCCCAAACCCTTGGAACTTCCTAAAGTGTTGAGAGTCATAAAGGTGTCTTTTGTTATGTTAACGGAGATGACTTTTGGACCCCACCTGGGGGTAGGGGCTGGTTGCCAAGAAGACCAACCACATGATTAGAGGGTTGGGATTTTCAGCTGGAGGTTGAAAAGGCCCATGGCCAGTGGCTTAGTCAGTCCTGACTATGTAATGAAGCCCTCATAAGAGCTCAAAAGGGCTGGGTTTAGAGAGCTTCTGGGTTGGTGAACATGTGGAGATTGGGCAGAGTGGTGTCCCTGGAAAGAATATGGAAGCGCCTTGCACTTTCCCCATACCTGACCCTAGGTATCTCTTCATCTGGCTGTGGATTCCTGTCCTTTCACGTCCTTTAATAAATTGGTAAACCTAAGTACGAGTTTCCCTGAGTTCTGTGAGCTGCTCAAGCAAATTAAAAGAACCCAAGGCCATTGGAACCAACAATCTGTGACTGGTTGGTCAGAAGCACAGGCAACAGCCTAGGGCTTGCGCCAGGCATCTGAAGTGGGTGGGGAGGGCAGTCTTGTAGGACTGACCCCTTAACCTGTGGAATTTGATGTTGTCTCTGGGTAGAAAATGTCACCGTCTGCTTGTGTCCGAGAATTGCTTGGTGTTGTGTGTAGGGAACCACTATCCCCTCCCGTCCGCCACCACATTGGAATTGCATCCAAGAACCTAAGAGCTGATACCTGTAGATCTGGCTTGATCAAACTGCAGGCATGGTGGGGTCTTGGTAGACCTCTCAGCATCCTTTTTTCCTGTGCCCTGAATGTGTTCTCCATTCCTTCCCAATTCTATGCATGCATTCATTCATACATGCAATAGGTATCAGTTGAGACTCACTTTGTGTCAGGCACATGCTGGGTCCTGGGATTTGATGGTGAACCAGAGATGTGGTCCTTACTCTCCCAGAGCTTCCTTTTGAGTAGGGGAGACTGGTATCAATCAAGGAATCTCACAAAAAAATATTTGATTATAGACTCAGAGAAGGCCACTGAAGGAAAGGAACTCCCTTCTCCAAATATTTATTATAAAGGAATGGGACCCAGACTTGGGGGGTGGTCAGGAAGGGTCCCTAAGGAAGTAGTGCTTTAGCCAAGGTCTGAGTGAGTGAGGTTCGCCGGGTGATGGAAGGGAGAGAGCATTCTAGGCAGAAGGATCAGTCTGTGCAAAGGCCCTGTGGCAAGAAAGAACACTGCAACTTCAGTGAATTGAAGAAGGCCAGTGTGGCTGGGGAGCAGAGAGGGAGGTGGAGGCTGGGCTGGGTCACATAGGCCTTGGTACACAGTTTGTCTATATCCTAATACCTATGGACAGCCACTGAAGGACCATAGGGATGGGGGTAAGGTGTGACACGGTTGTATCTGTGTTTTGAAAAGATCTCTGGGTGCAGTGGGAGACCATTTGGGGGTTGGTCAGAATGCAGGTTGGGAGACCATGGAGGTTTTTCAAGATCATCTAGATGGGAAATAATAGTCTTGGAGGAGAGAGCTGGGTGGCGAAATTGACAGGGCCTGGGGCAGAACTGAATGTGAGATGCGAAGGTGAGGTTTCTGGCTGGCCTTCTGGTTGGATGGTAGACTGAAGAGAGTTGGTTTTGGGGAGAAAGATCATGAGTTTAGCTGTTGTATTAGTTTGGGAGGGCTGCCAGAAAAAAAAAAAAATACCACAGACAGGGTGTCTTAAACAACAGGAATTTATTTTCCTGTAGTTCTGGAGCCTGGAAGTCCTAGGTCAAGGTGCTGGCAGGGTCGGTTTCCTCTGAGGCCTCTGTTGTTGGTTTGCACATGGCTGCCTTCTTGCTGCCTGTCACACGGTCATCTTCTGCTCCTGCATCCCTGGTGCCTCCACTGTGTTATTTGTGTCCCAGCCTACTTTTATAAGGACACCAGTCATACAGGATTAGGACCCACCCTGATGACTTCATTGTAAGTTAATTGCCTTTTTCAAGGCTCTCTCCAAAAACAGTCACATTCTGAGGTACTAGGGATGAGGACTTCAATATGTTAATTTTGGGGGAATATAATTCAGTCCATACAGCTGTGGACTTGTTGATTCTCAGGTGGCTCTGAGAGGCCCTGGTGGAAGTGTCCCTCCACGACTGTTTTAGATATCACTTCCAGGGCGCCTGGCTGGCTCAGTCAGTAGAGTGTGCAACTCTTGATCTCGGTGTTGTGAGTTCTAGCCCTTGTTGGGTGTGGAGATTACTTAAAAATAAAATAAAATCTTTAAAAAAAGAAAAAAATATCACTTCCCTGATGACTCTTTGTGTACCCCCACTGCTGCTCATGTCATATGCCTCCTTTGAGTTGAGGTTGGAAGCCATCTTGCATTTGTAGTTTGTATTACTGCAGGTCATGTGTGTTTGAGTTTTGGTAGTTTGTATCTTTCAAGGAATTGGTCCGTTTCATCTAAGCTATTAAATTTGTGGCTAGTGTTGTTCATAATACTCCTTTACTTTCCTTCGGTGTCTGTGGGATCAGTAGTGATGACCCTTCTATCATTTCTGATACTGATTATTTGTGTCTTCTCGCTTATTGTCTTTGTTAGCCTGGCTAGAGGTTTATCAATTTAATGATCTTTTTGAAAAGTCAGCTTTTGGTTTTGTTGATTTTCTCTACTGTTTTCCTCTTTTCATTTCTCATTGATCTGTGTTCTCATTTTTAGTATTTCTTTTCTTCTGCTTGCTTTAAGCTTGCATTGCTCTTCTCTACTTTCCTGGAGAGGAAGCTTAGATTTTTTTTTTTAATTTTAGCTCTTCTTTCTAATATGTGCATTTTAATGCTGTAGATTTCCCTCTAAGCACTGCTTTTGCTGTATCCTACAGATTTTGTTGTCATATTTTCATTTTTGGGGGGTTCAAAATACTTTTTTAGTTTCTCTTGATACTTCTTTGACTCGTGTTATTTAGAAGGATATAGCTTAGGGGCGCCTGGGTGGCTCAGTCGGTTAAGCATCTGCCTTCGGCTCAGGTCATGATCCGAGGGTCCTGGGATCGAGCCCCACATGGGGCTCCCTGCTCAGTGGGGAGCCTGCTTCTCCCTCTCCCACTCCCCCTGCTTGTGTTCCCTCTCTTGCTGTGCCTCTCTGTCAAATAAATAAATAAAATCTTAAAAAAAAAAAAAAAAAGAAGGATATAGCTTAATCTCCAGATCTTCCAGTGATCTTTCTGTTCTGGATTTTTGCTTTAATTCCATATTATAGTATGAAAACACACTTCATGTGATTTCTGTTCTTTTAAATTTTTAAATTCTATCTCACTTTCTCTTTTGACTCAATGAGTCTATCAGTCCTCTCCATTAGAAAAAAAAAAAAGATATCCCTACCCAAAATACAGTATTGCTTAGTAT